AACAAAGCCATAAAAAATCATTTTTGCCAAGAGTCCGTGCTTTGTCCTTTACATCTGGCAGACAGAAATCCATATCAGTGTGTTTTTAAGTCTTGTGTAGTCGTAACATCTACAAATATCTTCCAAAAAAATCGAGTGTTTTTAACAAAAAATATTAGTGATATGGATATATAAATATTACAGGTAAATAATTTTTGCTTCCTCAATTTTATATAAAACCTTTTTTAGTTAAGTCTTATTACTATCTATCCGGTACATAATCATTCCTTTTATAACAAAAATTTTTTTTCTAATTAATCTGTATTGACCATTGTTAATAATGTTAATCAGTATTTTAAAAACATTGTATTTGACAGAATAAACCTGATGATGGAACGTACCTAGTTCCGAAACGTCGGATAACATCTTCAAAAAACAAATTGTTTTTTATTATTGGATTTACTGTTCGGAAAAAAACCATCATATATTGAAAAAATCCAGGACTTATCTATTGAATATATATATATATATATATATATATATATTAGCAAAATATGATTTCATTATAACATGTACCACTAAAAATACAGGCTGGGCAAAATTCCGTTTCATTTAGAAACAACTATAAAAGTTTTTGGTGCAGGTTGTGTTGTAGCAAATTATGTCATCAGCAATACTCAGAAAAGTAATACGTGTAAAATATTTTCAGGAACCAATGACTGACAAATAGTTTCTTTAAGAAAGCAATAGTTTAAACACTAAATATATCGATCTGCTCCGCTTTTTGGAAATGAATTAGCATACGTATTCAGATAAAGAAAATTACAATCGGCGATATTTCGGAATTTAATCTGAATACATCACATGTGACACTGTGCGGTTGCTCTATCAAAAAGTTCAATTTGTGTACAATGCAATGTATTTTACAAGTAAACTTACTTAGAAAAAGTTTAATAGTAGTTAAATAAGCAGATATGTACAAGCCAGTCGTAAATTAATCACTGCCAAATTAATCACTCAACAATTAAAACTCAAATCGGCTATTAATAATTGTTTATTTAAACGATGATAGTCTTACCAATAATTCCAAGATAAGATTTCGTTTCTTTATGTAGTCCTTAACGAAAACATCGGCATTATTTATAGTCCTTTTTGATCTAGCCGATCTTTTCGACAGTGTGTTGGAACTGGCAGACAAAGGGACGGTGTTGATCCAACCAGTCGTTGGCTTTGAAAAGTCGCTGCTGCTGTTGGAACGCACTTCCGAAGTTAGAGAATTCGTAAGGGACCTCGACGGCGGGTACATATCAAAGTCTATAATGTTATTATTAACCCATAAAATACATTTTTCATTTTATTGGCAAACTTAATTCATCAACAAGTTGTACAAGAGCATATATCTTTATTTGTGAATGCATTGAAATTGTCTATGCTTCGCTAAAGACTTCATGCTATTCAGAATCATTGTTTTGGTTATCCAATAAATTAACAAGTAATTCAACAAGCGAGTCATTGCCATCAAATTGCTAACATTTTTATAATATTTAGAACTAAAAATTTGATTCAACCGCAAAACTATTTTTGTTTTTAATTTTAGAACAAAGTAGAAATAAATTACAATTGAATTAATTCTCATAAATGGAATTTATTAATAAAATAGTGTACATGTATAAAATAATATCATACCAAAAAATTTACGATCGCAACCAAATTAAATTTTTGTTCTAAAGGTAATTAATCAGTGCAATTTAATACGACTGCAAAAATATAATCCAATTCATATCAGTTTATTTAAATTAACGTCTTTAATTACGTCGGTATGCGTACCGTTCATTCATGAGTTAAGTCGGTAATAAGATATATTCGAAGCAAGGCTTTTAAAACAACTTTTTAAAATATGTAACTACAAAAAAATAATAACTTAAAATATGTATCTATGAAAAAAATGAATTTTGCTAATTTAACATTTCTCTTACAAAACCATGGTTAAAAAAATATTTACATTCAATTAAAATTTGCCGACATAGTTGTGTGTTTTTTTTTACTTTTTTAGATATATATGTAAAAAATATAAGAAAGTGATTGCAAATATTTGTATCTGTATTTTACTTATTCAACAAGCATGAAAATATCAGCAAGACATATACAGTTCTAACTCTTTAACTTAACCTTATGATAACAACGTTCGTAAAAATCCAATGTAAAATCCTTAAATTATGATATAGTTTAGCATATGTGAATTGTTAAAAAAATTTAAAATATCAATAAAATACCTGTTGTTAAACATTTAAGAAAAAAATATAAGCTGTAATGCAATTAAAATAATTTTAATATAATTGTGTAAAATTCAAATTCACATTTGTGTGTAAAGATTTTAAAAACTTGTATCGCTTTTAATTTTCGAGTTTCATTCTTTTTTTGTAACACGGCAAATTGCTAATTATTACAATAAGCCAGTTTTAATATTTTTAAGAGGATGTCAGATGTCTGCTTAGTTAGTTAATGGAAAGCAATGCTATTTAAAAACTGCTTCAATCGAATTATGAAAAAGTACATTTTCGGATAGAATTTTATACCTAAGTCAATATATTTCGAATACAAGAAAACAGTTATTTTTTAAACAAAATCAAATAATTGATCAGTGTATTTTTCTAGACGCCTTCTTTTGAAAACAACATACATTTTTTTTATTCTTTTGAAATTGCGCGTTTTACAAGTGCTCTAATCATCATTGTTTTGAAATTATATTTAATGAAACAACTTAATAGATTCAAATCATTTATCCATTAAAAAATGAGTATCATATTTTCTAGTGCTATTATTTCTGGTCTATTTTAGATTAAAATTATTTACAGATCCACATTCAACTCATAAATTATTTTTGTCTGCAGATTTTACTTGCCGTTTTCGCATTGCGTCCGAAGAGTTCGTTATAAATGCAGTTTCAGGTTAGAATTGCCAATTTAAGAGAAAAAATTGTTATGGTAGATGATTAACTGATCGACTTTGATAAACTGAATTAAGAAAGAATAAATATAAGTAAGTATAAATATTGTGATTACATAACCCCATGCTTTGAATACCAAGCGAATGAAAATGCTAAATAATATCAATAATTATTAAAACATGCTTTTATTATTAATCGAGGGCATTCACAAATTAAATTTCGTACTTGCGATTTGAAAAATGTATTTAAGCTAACAATATATGCTCCGAAAATAATATGTATCAAAAAGTATATTTAAAAAATGTTGCATAATTTACATTGACACAAAATGCCTAATGAAGAGCTTCGCCAAAAATTGAAAACATGCTAAAATATTTCAAATACTCTGATACAAAACAAGCATCACATAATAAATTGAATAGTACCTTCGACGCTCAACTGGGCACCGTCTGTTATAAAATTACAAATTAGATTCATCAAAATAATTTTAAATATTAATTCAATAAAATCATTTTCATGTTTTTCCTATACAACTTTGAGATAAGTTAAAAGAATTTTGTACAGTTTTTGAATGCCTATGTTTGTCACATTAAAAATGCCATTAGTAAATCATCAGAACACTATAGCTTTATTCACTTTGAAATTATATTCTTTTACATAATTACTAAACAACTTTAGCTAACTGTAAGTGCAATCTTTAAAACATGCAAAACTGTTCTTACCTCCAACAACACTCGCCTTTAAATATTTTTTATCGGAATGCATGGTCTGCCAGAATTTAAACAATGTTATAATATCATCCTTCAATTGTTCTTGGGGTTGACTAGGGCACTGTTGAAAGAATTTAATAAAAAGCAGTATTAATGTAATGAATTTATTTCAATCATGGATAATAATAAATTATTCTTACTTGTTGAGGTCCGCAAAAATAATCTAAACAACTTGAATATATCCTTTCTCTCAGAACATTTTTAGCTAAACTTTTTGGTAATATATCTCCTTGTAGTAAAGATAGACCACAAGTTAATAGTCTGAAATGATATCAATATCTAATTACTGTATCTGATAATAATATATTTATAAGTAATAAAGTTAAACATATATTATATCCGGGAGTTTTTCTTTGCTCTTGTATTTTTTTTTTTTTATAAATTCAATTAATATTTCAAATGATTTTTTTAATTATACAATATTACTTCAATTGATCTTTCTGTCACCAAAAACTAATCACCATCATACTGATATAATAAAAATTCATTTTTCTGTTCAATTCAACGTCATGATAAAAAATTTAGTAATTGAAGTAACCAAAATATTATTTGAAATAATGAAGTACTTACTTAAATCTGACTCCAACTGCTGCTACATGTCTGTTCTGTTTATTTTCTGAACTTCCAACATACATAGGAAGCGATCTGTGAAGCAGTGTGGCTAACATATCAATCTTATCTTGACTAGAATATTTTGCAGTATCAACTAACTCTGATATGAACTGAACCCAAATATCGTGAGGTTTTACGTATGGGGGCCTCGGTTCTAATTTACACCCTAAAATGAAAAATAAAACCATTTATGCGTATAATCCTAAATACCAAGAGTATATAGCCAAATTGCCTTCATAATATATTTATTTATTATTTTCTTTACACAATTATTAATACTAAGCATTAAAATAAATGATTAAACATAAGGTGACCATATTTTTTTGCAGTTTTATGTATGGGGGCCTCGGTTCTAATTTACACCCTAAAATGGAAAATAAAACCATTTATGCGTATAATCCTAAATATCAAGAGTATATAGCCAAATTGCCTTCATAATATATTTATTTATCATTTTCTTTACACAATTATTAATACTAAGCATTAAAAGAAATGATTAAACATAAGGACCATATTTTTTTGCAGAAAATCCGAGACGGATTAAAATGTGTGTGTGAGCGGGGGGGAGGGGTGTTGCTAAGCTAAAAACTTATATGCGCATTTTTTCGGTTCAAATTTTCTAGTTTAAATATATGTCAAAAATTATTATTTAATATTGGCAATTCAAGTGTTTTTAAAAATCCGGGACAAATATTGCTTTTAGAAAAAGCCGGAACGCAAGGCGGAAAATCGGGACTGTCCCGGCCAATCCGGGACGTACGGTCACGTTATTAAACAGGATATTAAGTACACTATACTAATGCTAGTAGGACATTCTATATATACCTTCATAAGCAGCAAATGGACTAGTTTCCTCAATATGATCTGCAAAAAGACCCATTTTCGCTTCCATGGTGTACTGCCAAGCTGACAGCATTTCCTGCAGGAAACATAATTCGAGATCTGGTCTAGCGGTAAGTAACCACTGCCAGCATTCCACTGCAGTCGCCATAGCATCACCAGTGAATAACTCCACCTGAGACCACGCTGAAAATGTGAAATAAAAACAACAAAAAAAAGTTATTATACTTGATATTCAACACAAATTTGTTATTGTACTTGATATTGCTCAATTTCAACTATGTACATAGATAAAAATTTATAAATTATAAATATTTAATAAATTAAATTTATTCTCAGCAACTTTATAATGAAAAAATATTTTACCAATAGCATGAAGCAATGCTCTATGAATTCCTGGTAGTGAAATCAATAAAGAAGTAGCTCTCCAGAGGGAGCCTCTGTGTTTAGAATCGCTTTTTTCTTTACAAGCTTCCCAAATAGAATTAACAAGGGTATGTGGCAGATCATTACGATCTGATGAACCCAATGCTGTCAACATTCCACTGACCTAAGAAGTGTTAAAAATTTATGTGAATGAACTCCAATATTAAAGTTGCAGAAATATTTCATATTGCAAACTGCTTCATTTGTATTAAAAAATTTTTTGGCCAACCAATGGAATCTCAATATATTTTTATCCACTACAGCGGTGATCTCTTATAGAGAATGTTACAAAGTTAATGCATATAATGCATGATAGCTTATGTTCTTATATGTGACATATGTTATTTATCTATACCAATAATATAAAACAAATAGATTAAAAAATTCAAATATAATGTATTTGAGTATTATTTTTTATAAACAATTTTATTAAAAAAATGATTACACACCTCACCGCTGTACTTGCTTCTCAATCCAAGAACTGAGACAAACCGAGAGCTATCACTCTTCATGCATTTAGGGCGCTTCACAGAGTTTGTTGTAGTTAAATAATTTAATGCTGATGTACTTGTAGACTGTGGACTGGAGTTTAAAAGTGAATCTACAGCTAACGCTAAACCTGTGTGATGCCACAGTGCTGAGCTAGGTACCTATAAAATAAAATGTATAGTTGTTAAATTTTATAAACATAAATAACACATAAAAAATAAATGTTTTTCTAGTTATTTGACTAAAATAATAAATATATATCTACTTGTTATTAAAAGAATGTAAGCAAATTTAATAACAATATAATCATTTTTGTTTCATCAATTTAGATTAGATCTTTAATTGAGTCAACACTTGTTTTTGATTATTGTTTTATGTATGAATTCTACACTTTTGAATTTGACATTACGCTTTCAAGGCAATGAACAACCATATCAAATATTAAGTAAAATACTTTCAGTAAATTCTAAAAAGTAAATATAATAGTAAATATTGTATAACTTGTGTAATTTGATACAGGAGCAAATGGGTTGATATAAAATGATTGAAAGTTGACTATAAATATTAAATAAAAATAATTGAAAACAAATTTTATCTTAGTATGTTTCAGTACCAATTAATATTGGTAAGAAATGGAAAAAAATATTCAGAATTGCTATATGACAAATATAAAAACTAGTAAAAAAACATTCATATAAAATGAATAAATAAAAAATTAAACTTGAATATACAAACATACTTGATTTGGATATTCTTGAAGATGCGACCTTGTAGAATGTGGGGCCCATTTCATTGCCTCTTGTACAATACCTTGGCAACGATCTGCAAAATCTTTAACAATTGTCTAGAAAAAAGTAAATGTTTGATAAAATTATCTTAAAATAATAACCTTAAATTAATATAACACACCTCCCTAGCCTCCCAAGTATCCATAAGTTGCATCGTGTAAGGTGTTGAAGGAATCTTTAATGTAGGTGTTTCTTCATTAGGATCTAATTGAAGACTATATGATAACACTTGTAAGATGTCTAACATTGACCACAAAACCTGATGTAAATAATTAAATATTTTGAAATGACTGAAGGTATAAAAATATAACTAAATCTAAGAATATCAATATTTTATTAAAAATATTGCAATATATTTTCTTAAATCTATATATATATATATTGTTGTACACCCCTGATATTATAAGTTGCTAACCACTGTCATAATATTAGATTCCTAACAAGTCCAGACTGAAATCTTAGAACCCCTGAGCTTTAGCTGATATTAACGGTTCATATTAACTTTTCTCAGACTACTGCGTAGTAGCTGACATTACACATTCTCTCACGAAATCATAAATCTGCATCGACAAATCTCAGCAAGATTCTATTATCGACATTCCGCCTAGTTAACAATTCTCACCAAGTTCGCATGAATAACATTTTGTTTAATCAGCTAAATTCATTACTTTGTCCTTTTCGTTGTATAGAACATTCGAGACAAATCCCCACTACGTTTCAAAGGATTTTAGTTTTATTAATTATGAAATAAATCAGTCTTAATCTGTCGGTCGCCGGGCAAACACTTCTCTTCCAATACCTCCGAGTTCCTTGTACTTAAAGTGAAATAAAGTGAAGTTTTTGAAATAGTCTTTTCATTTATCAATTTCAAGTATTTTCAGCAAGTGAGTTTTCAGGAAAGTCGGAAGGTCCAGAGCAACAACACCGATTTGCATATAGCGGCGCCAACACCCCTTTTCTGTTCATCAACGCGGTGTCCAACATATTTTTTGGTGGCAGCGGTGGGATACTGCCAACATATTATTTGGTGAAAAATGAATACAGATGTTCTAACGTTCAATCATTATCAATTTTTAATTTTAAATTTATTTCATTCTTATTAATTTTAAACAGTTGATTTATGATTATTAAATATAGCATAATAGATTATTGATAATCAATCATTAATTATTGATTTCCAAAAAAAATCCATTGTTGACTTATTGATTATTAGTTATCGATTATTGATTGATTGAATATTGATTATTAATTATTAATTATTGACTATTGATTATTGAATATTAATTATTGATTATTGATTATCAATTGATTCTATTGATTTTTTTTAATGTAGTATGCAAATAGTGAACATAATTTTGATAATGATTCCTTGAATTAAATAATAATTGTAATTTTAAATTTACCTAAACAAATTCAAGTATTAATTTAGATTTTATTGCAAAAGTCTATGATTTAGTTAATGTTTAATGAGTAATTATCTCAAGTTTTAGGTAAATTTAGAAAATATCTTGAATAAATTTATAATTTTATAGAATTATTAGTTAAAGAAAATTGAACTTCCACATTTTTTATTTTCAATTTAAATCTAAAAGCTAATTTAAGAATATTCAAGATTACTGTTCAAACGTATTGGGGATTGAAAATTTTTCTTTTTTTTTTTCCTTTTCGTGATATTTAATACTTTTTAGTCAAATCTAATGAATTGTTGCGATTTTTGCTATTTATTTTTCTTGAATTGAATAATATTTTTTTTTTTTGTGACTTTTGGTGTCAGTTTTTTTTACGGTAGCGCCGGGAGTCGCTACATTGGCGAGGGAGGTGTTGTACACCCCTGATATTATAAGTTGCTAACCACTGTCATAATATTAGATTCCTAACAAGTCCAGACTGAAATCTTAGAACCCCTGAGCTTTAGCTGATATTAACGGTTCATATTAACTTTTCTCAGACTACTGCGTAGTAGCTGACATTACACATTCTCTCACGAAATCATAAATCTGCATCGACAAATCTCAGCAAGATTCTATTATCGACATTCCGCCTAGTTAACAATTCTCACCAAGTTCGCATGAATAACATTTTGTTTAATCAGCTAAATTCATTACTTTGTCCTTTTCGTTGTATAGAACATTCGAGACAAATCCCCACTACGTTTCAAAGGATTTTAGTTTTATTAATTATGAAATAAATCAGTCTTAATCTGTCGGTCGCCGGGCAAACACTTCTCTTCCAATACCTCCGAGTTCCTTGTACTTAAAGTGAAATAAAGTGAAGTTTTTGAAATAGTCTTTTCATTTATCAATTTCAAGTATTTTCAGCAAGTGAGTTTTCAGGAAAGTCGGAAGGTCCAGAGCAACAACACCGATTTGCATATAGCGGCGCCAACACCCCTTTTCTGTTCATCAACGCGGTGTCCAACAATATATATAAAACTGACAAACAATAATCCCCATCGAGATACACCAAACGGCTTTTAAATTTTTGAAATCGGTCTAGCCGTTTTTAAGAAAACGTCGATTTACGACAAAAAATCTGTTCACATATACGCACGCAAACACACACACACACACACTTTTTCCAAATTTGGTCTCATTTGATTCAGAATGGCTTGAAACGTCGAGAAAACATAAAATTAGCGAATCGGATTTTTTTATAAAAACATAAACTTCTCCTTTGGGAAGTTAAAAATAATTTGTTTATGCAAATTATTTCATATTGAAACACGAAAAAAAAAAGCACTATGAAATTAATACATTTCAACACAATTTTCTTATACATACACGACAATTCCATAGAAGATGAGGAAATTTGTCCACAAGCCCAGCTAAATATTTATCAGCAACGCGACGAATTTGCTTGTGCATGTGATTAAAATTGACGAGAAGAAATTGAGCGTGCCTTTCTAATTCTCGTTCACGACTTTCATCTTTTGGCTTGTTGGACATTACTTCTAAAAATTGCTGGAATACATGATCACCCACACTAGAATAAAAATATATAATATATGTGATGTATGTAATAATTCGGTTTTGCAAAAAATAAAATTTGAATTGAATATATAAAAATAAAATAATATTATACATACATATTACATATAACAATCAATATACTTTTAGAAAGTAGATTCTGAAAATGGTATTAAAACTTTTCAAGATTTTAAATAATCCATGTTTAGCTATATAAATACCTGCAAACACATTGCCACATTCCTGATTTATCCTTTTGTAACTCTGTATCACTCAAATATTCTAAAATTGGTTGAAGACTTGGTTCAGACGAGTTCGAAACTCTATAAATCAAGTTTAGTATATAATATAAATTCTGAGACAATAAATTAATATTATGCATTGTTTACTAGAAACGTCCATAAAGATAAAAAATATCAATGAAAGCTATTCCAACATAATTTATAGAATTTATATATTAAAAATTTGCTTTCAATTTTTAACTAAAAAATTGTTAATAAGGTATTAAATTTTTTATATGCAATATTAATAAAATAAATTAACCTTAGGGTTTCCAGCCAATAAACACTAAGCAGAAAAGTACACTGAGCAAATGACAGCTTATTTACAAAAGCACTAATATCTTGAGGGTGATCTAAAAGGTTCATAATTTGAGTTTTGAGTTCATTCAATTCATTCCAAGACACACTGTCATTCCGAACGGCTGATGTATATTGTAATTCACGCATTTCAAATTTTGCTGATGATTGTGATACTAAATATGGCGATTTGACTGCAATTTCTTTAACACCCATAAACCATTCATGTGGCCAGAGATCTGAAAATGCAATAAATTTGAGTAATCAGATTGAATAAAAATTAAATAAAATAAAAAAATACGTATTTTAATATATAAGTATTTTTTCAATTAATAATGTCAATAATATAAATATCTTATAGCATTTTCTCAACATGAGTTATTAAAATATAATAAATTTAGGAAAATTTCATCATTATCACAAAAATTATTGATTAAAATATTGATTTACTTGAATCTGCTGCAGTAAAGCCCATTACAACACAATATAACCAAAAGTCTTTGAACAATTTATGTAAACGAGGTTTTGGATTTCTAATGGGTGGTAACCTTCGAACAAGAACCTGTTAGATAAATATCACATTAGTATTAAAATTTTACAAAATTGTATAAAAATGAAGTATTAGTTTAGTTTTTAAAAATATGTATAATTAATTTTATTCTATTATAATCTGAATACATAGATAGAGTAAACTTGATATTGAATTTATAAATGCATGCATTCAACTCATTTCTCTTTTGATATAAAACACTAATCTACAACATAATTTTTTAAATCTATTCAGCATATACTTAATTTGTATTTAAAAAATAAGATATTTGAAATGGTATCGTTTACATTTTGTTAAAATCTGAAAATTGTTTTTAAAAAGATTTTTATACTTAAATAAAGACCCAATTCTAAAATATTAAATTGAATAAATATCTAGTAAACTAAGTATGCATAAAAAAATCCCATAACTCACAGCAATAACTGGTATGAGAACACCTAAATTTCCAGCACTGCTTGAAGCTTTTTGAGTGCTGGGTGCTTTTTCAGATGCTCGTTTTCCTTCTAGTCCAAGTCCAACAAACAACTCAAGCAATCTACCTAATAACTCCATCATTTCAGTTTCGCCTTCTAAATTAGCTGCTATATTAGCCAGTGCATTAATCACTGCTCCACTAACATGGCCATATTGTTTCCTGAAATAGATTTTGAAAATGATTATAAAATCAACTCAGTTAACAACAAGATTAGTTAATTATAAATAAAATATTTCATTTTATATTAAAAATATTTAATCAATTAAATCACCTATCATCTATTGTAGACGCTCCATATACCGCAGAACTAGATTCCACAGTAATCATCGTAAACATTCGCATGATTTCTTCATAAATCTAAAATAACAAACTCTCCATTTTGTATTTTCTTTTTATTAAAAAAAAAATCAATAAGGATTTCAAAATGTATTACAATATTACATATCATTGAATACCAATGAATATGAGGTTTTAACTCTGATTTTTTTATGATTAATCTGCACAAAATTATACATAAATTAATTCTTAACTGAATTAATACACTAATATTAATATAAGTTAGTTTAATGTTTTTTCTAAAAAATCCATAATAAGAATTTTAAATTTCAAAGTAAAATTAGTAAGATCATTTGTACCTGAGGATCACATCTGCTAATAACCATACACCCAAGTTGATCCACAATCAAAGTATCCAAATTTGATGGAACTTTACAAAATCTTTGCTGATAAAATTGCAAAATAGTATCTGTTGTCTTTGGAGTATCCTTCAATGCAACTGCCACATGTCCTAACATAATCAAAGTATTCATAGAAACGAGATGAGTTTCACTGAAATAAATGGATATCAAATTTAATATTATATTCTTTTAAAGAAAATGAAATACCAACACTAAATAATGAGAATAAAACTTTTCAGATCATGTGAAATTAAATATTTCTTATTAATTTAAAGAAATATGTAATATAATAAAATGCATAAAAATATTTTTTGTGTACCTTTTATAAAAATATAAATCAAATAATTTGTGTCTACCTGTCAGACATATCTGCGGTAAATAATCTATTTGATAAATTTGCTACTAAAGCTGGAACACAATATGGATCCAAGCAATGAGCAGCTCTTAAAGCAATACTTAAATTTTCAATTGCAGCATCTCGTAATTTTTCAAATGCTGAATGAGCTGATCTTGTTAAACCCTCATTTATGGAATCTGAGGTGCTTAATTCTGCTCCTTGAACTAAGAAGAAATGAAATAGCAATATAATATGTAACATAACAAATGGTTGTTTTAGATGTATTGTAATATATATAAACAGTAAAAGTCCTTTAGTCGAGCTTGCACGGGACCGACCCCGTGTCGAACTATCGAACATTCCGGACTATCGGGCGGTAATTATAAAAACAATTAGGTTAATAATTAAACTACATAATCAGTAGGAAATCCAAACAACAAAGCTTATTTTACATTAATTAGATTATCGATATAATATTATTCATTTTTTAACAAAAAAAATTCTCTATGTTTACAAAAAACAAAATTTTGATGATTTCTAGCCATTTCATGATTTCTAGTTTCTGATTGAGAGTTAGTGTTGCATGTTTGTTTTGAAAACATGATCACTGCACAGTTAGGTGGTTAAATCTATTGATATATTTATACTATGCCACTGTATTCAGTAGACTAACTTAATAAACGGCCGAACTCTTCCTAAAACGTAGAGGGTATGTATTTCGTAGAACATGCTTTGTTCATGAACACAACGGAATTTACCATGAACATAACTATCACCAAACAATAGCGAGTTCGTCCGAATTATACCGAACACCACGAAAACGTTCTAATAGCCCTCGAGCGTTTTCACTTTCCATAAAGGCACATTTTTGACAAAAACGAGATTTTTAAAAAATTACCAAACTATCAGGCATTCCGGACTGTTGGGTATCGGACTACAAAGCTTCTATTGTATGTACGTATGTATGTATATGTATATATATATATATATATATATATATATACATACATATATATCCAGCAGTATCAGTTTATATGTATTTATTCATATACAATGTAATAGGTACGTAAAAGAACTAACCTGTAAACTTAATGGTTTGCAATTGATTATTCTTGCCTGTATTCTGCTGCTTATGAAGTTTCAATAAAATTGGGGAAGGTATAACAAGAAAATCACGTAGACATGAAATTGAAGTATTTGCAATGTTAGGAAACTTTGTAGCTAGTTTACCCAAACCCTAAAATTGTAATAAAGCATATTAATTGTTAAAAATAATTATAAAATTAGTATTACACTCATACTGATTTACCTCCAAACAGACCATTAATAATGGCATGTGAGCCAATATTAATCTATGATTATGTGATGAATTTATTTTCTCTGATAATCTGCTGCATAATTTGTCAGCACCTGTAATTAAACTTTTTTTTATTTATACCAATTTTTACTAATCATTTCAAAATTACACACAATATGAAATTCAAAAGCTCTGATCAGGGCCACTCATTAAAAACATATTTACAATCATCAAATTCAAATTAGATCATGCATAACAAATAGTTACTCATAAAGCTTGCAAAAAATTAAATAAAATAAACACAACCCAAGCATGCTCTACCTATAATATTTGATATGCAGGTGGCATGACTTTCATCATCAGAAGATTCATGCTCTAGAATAAGATATTGCAACAAAAGTAAGATATGTGCATTCATAAAATAATAGCTAGAATATAATAAAATTATATTTGAATAGCCAATTCTATCCTTTCTCAATTTCATTAGCAATTCAAATATCATGATATTGGTATCATCAATTTTATTATGTATAAAAACTAATATTGTCTTAATTGAGAATGGATAATCTAATTTAAAACAAAATGTGTACATATAAAGTTTTTTATAAAGCATTTATTAAGTTACAATATAATTTGCTTGTTAATTTTTATATATCAATTTCTTACCAGTTTCATCACCAATAGCCCAAACAAGTAGATCAACACAAGCAGCATTGGCCATCACATTTATTTTAAATTTATTGACTGTTGCATAATTATTTTCCCTGTCTTCTCTTTCAGATGCATCATGATTTCGACTCTGTAGTTCCGTTTGTCCATTTAAAAAAAGATCTTTCACAAACCCTTGAACATCTCTTGTAAACGGTGCAGGAAGATCATTTTGATTTTGCAACAATTCTCTTAATAATGTGACAATTACTAAGTTAATTGTTTCAGAGAAGGATCGATATGGAAATCGTTCTCTTTCATAAGCAATGTAAAATTCTAAAGCTATGTCATCAAACACCTTTAAATTATCTTTGGTTAAAAGCTTTTTAGATAAATCAAGAATATTTTGTAACTGGTTTAATGAGAAAAGTAAGACCAGTTGCTTTTTTGGTGAATCTAAAAATCTCATATTTGGAAATTGATTGAAACTTGAGCCATACTTTGCAAAAAAATAAGTTGTTGGGTCATAAGGTACTGAGTAAAAACTTTTCAATGAACTTCTTTTACTTGGATCCAAAATGTCATTATTGAGTAAATCAAATGTTTTGTTAAAATTTCCAGACAATGAACGTGGAATTATAGATCGAAACTGAGTAAAACTTCTTTTCTTATTTATTGACTGCTTTTTTCTCATCATTTGATTATGCTCAATATTAATCTCATGCTGGGGAAATAACCTATTCAACAATGGTGGATGGCTTGATGAGAATCTGCCCATTGACCTTGCTAATCCTATAAATACTGGAATAACATTTCTGCAGATATTTTCTTTAATATCTAAACTAACTTCACTGTTTATGTTTAATACATGATTTCCTATAGATTCAAAAACTTCAACTTGTGTTTTAATTATTTCTTCCCTATATGTACTTGATTTAACACATATGTCACAAAGCAGAGTGTTTAAACAAAAACTGAATTTTTCAGCAATAGGAATACCTACAAATATGTTATATATAAGAATGCATTTTATAAAGATTTATAATACCCAGACTAAAAAGAGGACTTACGATCAGTACTTGCTTTTTGTCCCTTGCATAACCATTGAGCATCCTCAAGACCCTTGAGAAGTTCAAGTAAATATGGAACTATGATATCACAATGAGTCAGATTGCTATCTAATAAATATATGCCGAGTGCAATAACTGCGTCTTGGCTTTGGATAGTCAACATAAACGTTGAATCCGTTGTACATTGTTTAGGGCATAATTTAAATAATGTATCTACCTGTGTAATGATAATTAATATAAATATATTGTATAATTTATTTAAATAAAAATATAGAAATATTAGTTTGCACTTAATCAACCTTTTCCCATGCAACATCTTCAATTTTCGCTAAAGATCGAGCTAAACTATGGACTGTCTTCCTAAAAAAAACTTTGTCATCTGCCATGATAAACATTTTCTCACCGACTGATGTATTTACAATCCCCTGTTATGATAATATATCTTGTTAAACTGAAAAACATTTATTCATCAGAAAAAAATGTTTGAAATCATATTTTCTCTACACTATTCTAATAAATTACATTTTTATTTGTTTTACTCACGCACGATTGCATGATCTACAGAAAATTTATTATAATTGTATGTTCAATAGTTTGTCAACTTTTGTATCGAATTCTGTAAAATCTTTATTATTTTGACGTTTGGCACTCCATGACAATAAGCTGTGGCGTTCGCTTGACAGCTGAAAATTCAAGTTCTATGGAGTTGTCAATGACGCAACCGCAACGGACACGGACCGATTCTGGACATAGGATTTCTATAATGAAGTCGGGCACTGTCGGTTCATGCGGAGTTATCTCCGAACAAATGCGCAAAAAGAAAATTAAGGCAAATCTGCCTTACATTAACCCCTTAACTTACAATTTAGGTTCGAAAATATTGGGCCAAAATTGTACAAGCTGGCGCAGCGTTTGTGACTATTTTTTCACATAGTATACAGATTTTCACAAAAATTAAAATAATTTTGTGTTTTATAGTATTGTATAAATAAATATTTTGTAATACTTGCGATTGCCGTACCGGGCTATGTCCGTAATGCGTAATATTTGCTTCTGAACCGATTATCGTACTCGGGCTACGCCCGTAATATTTACGTTTGGCCTAGAAATCGCACGCGGGCTCTGCTCGTCATTTTAAGTTAAGGGGTTAAGGAATTTTATCCTTTGTGTTTTTTATAACGCAAATCTTCGTTTAGTATGCAACATCAATTTAACGCTTAATTCCTTTTTCTCAAATTCGAAGCGGCGCACTGGTTTGGAACGAGTATCCAATGTGGTCTATAACAGACTATAAATGATCTATAACATCTCTTGCAATAGCTGTGATTCTATCTACATTGGCGAAACATGATAGAACCAAACGATGATCACAGAACATTTAAAACTAAACAACCATACGTTCAATTTTCATGACGCAAAGGTTCTTCATCATGCGCCAAAGTCTCACAAAGACGTTTTGCGGAATCGGCTTTTATTTTCTTAGACAAACGTAGTATTAATAAACGAACTGATACTAGCTTCCTTTGCGAAAAATACCAATATGTTCTAAATAATGTTTCCCAATTTGTATCGAATACATAACACCACGCTATGCTCGTTCAACACTATCACACACACTTATTACATATATCGCTGTACGGTTTATTGCAAACACGTGTTTTCCAAAATTTTTGTTTCGCACTTTAACAATTTTTACAGAAATCAAATTCACCTCGGATAAGCGCTTGCCTCGGATAATATTTTATTATTTATTTTTTATAAAAACAGTAATCACTGCTTGCCTCCAATTATTTTAATTATTTACAAGTTATGTGCTGTTAATATGTACAAGTGTTAATCTAAGAATTTCAAGTAAGTAATGCTTTCTATAATTTTTTAATTTAAGATTTAGATTTATGTAGTCTGTCTTGTTATAGTTAAATCTCTAACTTGATGTTACGTCCTCCGAAAAAATAATCATCATCAAATTTAAACACCTTCAACACACACACACACACACACACACACACACACATATATATATATATATATATATATATATATATACTAGGGATCAAAATAAGATACTTGCTGAAGAAACTATACCTCTAAAATGAATTCTGATGCCCCGTGCAATGACCCAAAAATAAAAGTTATGAAATTTGAAACAATTTCATTTTGACTCATTTAGAGTGCCCGAATTGCGTCCAAATGTATGACCGACCCCCACGGGGTCAACGCACGGGACATAAGAATTCATTTCAGAGGTATGCTTTCTTCAGCAAAGTATCTTATTTTGATCCCTAGTATCCAAAAATCATATGCGCCTAAGTGACCTTTGAATCGACCCGCCCTAATATATATATATATATATATATATATATATATATATATATATATATATTTGTACATTTATAATTATGAATATTCATAAATATACAAAAATAAAAAGTTTTTTCAAAAAAACAAAAATAGCTATGATTATAGTCTAATTAGTGACTAAAATTTGAATTATAGACACGTTAAGCATAATTTCTCGTGCCGATTATCATATACATTATTATATCTTTTTAATATTTTAACTTTGACTAGCGTGAACGACCTAGTGAATGATATCCGTGAGATGACAAAACGATCGCTTATTTTGAACCGATTTTGTATAGTAATTAAACAATATTATTAAGGGGGTATTCTACTGTAGAAGCATGAATTTTGCCCTGTTTTTGAAGCGCTGTATAAAGGAAACAAATCATTTTTTTACTATCAATTTTTTTATTATTTGTTGATTGATATTTTATTATTACATAAAAAAATTATTAAAGAAAAAAAATTAGAATTCACAAAGTTATGAGCAGTCAAAGTGGAAATTCAAAAAAAAAGAGGGTGTACTGGCGTGCACGATTCCAACCCTCCTGGTGATCCGAAACATAAAAAAAAGATGGATTCTTAATTATTATAGATGTCGCTATCGTATGAACCTTGGATAAGTCAAAAAAATTTTTTTTGTTTGAATGGCGGCAGTTTGAAAAAAAAAATTTTTTTTTCATGTTTTTTTTTAACAATTCCGAATTTTTTAAAAATACTAAATAAAAAGTTATAGTGTTGGGAGAGGTCCATGCGATAAAGCAATGTATAGAGAAGATCCTCTTCAAATTTGAAGTAAATCGGTTCATTAGAACTCGAGATATCCTTACCGCCAGCTCGAAAAAAGTAGTTCCGAGAAAAACGCGTTCAAAGTTTTGAGACTCGGTCTGACCCGAACCGAGGCCACGTCACTAAAACGGATATAACTCAGGAAATAATAGTAATTTTGAAAAATCCTTTTAATAACATATTTTTGAATAACTAAACTTTGAAAATATGAAAAATTTTTTTTTTCGATTTATTCAAAATTCTACAGTAGAATACCCCCTTAAGTCCTTCATTAAAATATAAGTACAATAAATATTATACGATACAAGAATTTATTTACAATAAAAATTAACATTACATGTTAAATAGAGGATGTGCATTTGTAAAATCACCATTATATTTTGCATAAAGATTTTTCCAAAATTTGATTCGTTCTATATCTGGGTCAATACTCAGTTTGAAACCATTATTTATGTCCATATATTTCAAAGATGACCTTGTGATCGGATCCCATTTCACACCATCATTTTCTTCCAAAACAGGTGTAGGTTCACTAAAAACGTTAAAATTAATCATTAGTTGCTCGTATATCAATTTACGTTACATATATACAGTGGTGTTGTGCTAATATTTTTTTTGCCGGAACGCTAAAATTTAAAAACCGGTTCAAAAACCGGTTCTCATGTTTTTTTCCGGTTCTGTTCGAAAAGGAAGGAAACAAAAATGATTACAAAACCGATTTTGTGCGCATATATGTATGTTTATTACAATAATAGGAACATCTAATAAAAACTAGTTGAATTATAATTTATAAAATTTACTTATTAAATCTTTTTCTGTATGCAGCGATTTTTAAATTTTTTTTTGCCGGCCCAAAAATGATTTGCCGGCTCGACAACACCACTGCATATATATATATATATATATATATATATATATATATAATTAAAATATTTATATCACCCCAATTTTGCAAAATTAGTCCACATTTTCACCATTGCTTGTTGAACGCATTCGTCTACTGAATTTTGTATGGGTTTCTCATTTATAAACTTAGATTTGAATATATAAAACATATCATCACCATGACAAGCTCCTGGAATTTTCGTATCACCAAAAAATTGTTTGAAAAGATTGAGGCAGCCATCATGCGAAAATTTATAAAAATAAGCTGGCCCAATATCTAATTGCTGAAATAAATGCGCCATTTGATGAGTGCCTATTGCAAAATTATAATCTGTTAATAAATCAAGTAATTGTGGTAAAGTTTCTTTGCTGACAGGTTGGTTTCCAAAATAGAAATATTTAATTTCTTGTGCTACATTCTGGGCTACATGTGAGTGCTGCTCTACTTTTAAAAATTTGGGAATCATTCTTTCAAAATCATCATTGGTTTCATCTAGTTTCTTTTTTGCAACTTTTAAAAATGCCATTCCTTCGCAATTATTATATCCGAACATAATGGGTATTTTATCATAATTTCCGGATTTTAATATATCTAGGGGATATGCGGGAAGCATATTTTCAATTTCAGTGAAGTGCTTTTCAACGGTCGGTGCAAAAGGTATAGGTAATCCTCTTCGTCTTTCATCAGGTGTATTCAATTGAAGATAAGCCAAAACTAAATCAAAAGTAGGAATTGTTTGCAAGAAATCCAATAATTCTACTGGATTGTTTGAATTGCATCCGAAAAATTGACCTGTCATGTGTGCACGTTTAATACCGAGCCTATTGCACGACCATTCCATAAGCGCATTGCCACTTTGCAATATTAATCTTTTAAATAGCCCTTTTCCCATTGGAGATAAATGTAAAAAATGTGCACACGCAGCACCAGCGCTTTCACCAAAAAGTGTAACATTGTTTGGATCACCGCCAAACCGCTTGATATTTCTTTGGATCCATTTTAAAGCTTCTATTTGATCTCTAAGGCCCGCATTGCCTGGTACATCTGGTGTATCCAATGTTAAAAAACCTAATGCAGCCAGCCTATAATTAAAAGTTACGACAATGACATTCTCTTGTACTAAATAATCTGGCCCGTACAGGTCGGTATTCCCAGAACCCATAGCATATGCTCCGCCGTGAATATAAACCATTACCGGCAATAAGTCATCGCTGTTGCATGCCGGGGTGTAAACATTAATAAATAAACAGTCCTCGTCGCCTACTAGCTCACCCGAAATTGGATCCTTCTGGGGACAGACATTACCTTCTTTTGTAGCATCTCGAACTCCTGACCAAGATTCCGCTGGTTGGGGTGGCTAAATATCAATAAAAAAATACATAATATAATATAATATAAATACATAATATAATATAATATAAATACATATTATATATATATATATATATATATATATATATGTTAAATATGAACAATACAACACTCAAATTTTTAACACACACTTTAAAGTGTGACCATGGTATGCCTCAACCTCAGTGTTATTTCAAAAACAGTTAATTATATACTACACATTCTTTAATATTTTATTTAAATTATATTTAATTTTTGATAATACAAAAAACATCAACTATCACTGCAAAGATTGACACAGTACTAAAACATGTTAAACTAGCTGACCCGACAGACTTCGCCCCGTCAAAAAAAAATTGTAATGTGGCAGTGTTTTGTTCCTACCTTTTTTAAATTCTTTGCAAAAAATTATCCTGAACAGAACCGTCACCCTGGTAATAATTCGGTGTGAATTAAAAATAATTAAATAAATCACTATATGCATTCAAAAGTAAGCAATTTTAATCATGTAAATCATAATGGTAATGATTAACAATAAAAAACAGTTATATTTTCATTGTAGTGCTTTGTGATAAACGATGTTTTTTGTTTGATTAGCGTATAATAGAAAATGGGGAAAATGGACATTGACATTGATTTTTTTATCTTATATGACTTGAAGTCAAATCCTTTAAAAGCCATACCAATTTTGTCGCCTGCCGAAAGTAAAACAAATGAAATAATATCGAGAAGCCGATTTTAGGGTTTTTCCGACAATTATTCGATTTTTTCTCACCGTAAGAACCATCCTTGAACATCAACAAACATTTTAAAAAAAGAATTGGTCAAATTGGTCCAGGCGTTGTTGAGTTATGCGCTTACCAACACATTTTGCGATCCATTTTTATATATAAGATATTTTAAACAAACCTTAAATATCGAGATGAAGAAATAGGATGGGTATTATTATAATGTAAACAAATGGAATGCGCGATCGCATACTAAAATCGATAAATGTGAAAACCTTTACTTATCTATGGTGAAAACAGATTAATTTATTGAAGAGAATAAGATAAATTAGAAAAATAAATTATAAATTATTAATGATGTTTATATAATAAGAGTCGTGTAAAATATATATTTTAACCGACACAAATATTTGTGTCGGTTCTCAGATTTACGCTATTGTTAGTCCGAACTATTAACATTGATTCTGCCATGCTCCGTTTAAATAAGTCTTTTTCATTTCTTTCTTTTCAATAAATTAATCTGTTTTTACATTTGTCGATTTTAGTATGCGATCGCGCACTCCTTTGCTTACATTATAATAATATCCATCCTGTTTCTTCACTCATATCACAAAATTCTATAAATATATATATATATATATATATATATATATATATATATACTCGTATATATATATATATATATATATATGTTGAAAGTGTTTAGATTTGATGTTGAAATGTATGATTAATTTCTTGGAGGGCGTAACATCAAGTAAAAAATATAAATAAGATAAATATTTTTTAAAACATTTTTATTTTTCCATACGTTTCGACGTAAAATTCTACGTCATCGTCAGTGGTTTTGAAATTCTTGTCTAGCCTGCCTCGGAACACGAGTGCTTATGTATAATATTCTATTTGTTAATTATTATTTTATTTTTTAATCTTTATAAAAAAAGAAATTACTGACATTTGGTGCTTGTTTCCAATTACTAATTTTTTACAAGATGTATTAATATGTGTAAGTGATAATCTAAGAATTTCAAAACCACTGACAATGACGTAGAATTTTACGTCGAAACGTTACCTTAAGGTAAAGATTTTTTAAAACATCTTTATTTTTCCAAATTCCAACTTCCAAATAATTATTTATATTTTTTACTTGATGTTACGCCTTCCAAGATTTTAATCATATATATATATATATATATATATATATATATATATATGTGTGTGTGTGTGTGTGTGTGTGTAACGGTTCAAAATAATCAACGGCATCGAATTAATCAAGTCTTCCTTCATTAGTTTACTTTTTATTATTATAAATAATACAAGTCCTTGTTAATTACGAATTAACAAGGATAGTGTTATGTTTCTTTCCGAACAATAAATCCCAAAAATAATTAAAAAAAACAGTAAGCTTTCTAGTTGTTTAATCTCGACGTTTCAGAGCTAGATGTATTCCATCATCAGACTTTATTCTGCAATTTGAAAAAAAACTATTGGCCCATATCCTTGATGAATGACTTAAGCCATAAAAAACATAAAATCAATAAATTAATTTTTTTGGCAAAAATATAGGTTCCTTCGGAAAATTAAAAAAAAAATCATTAGCATTTGAAAATAACGAATTGAAGAGGTTCAAGACCGCGCGTTGATGTGATTGTATTATGTTTATGTTTATTCATGCTATTGATCATGGTTTGGTAGGATATAATAAAATTTAAGACAACATTTTGCTTACTCTTCATCCCACCTTAAATCTTAATTTTCCAACTGGAGGTTTAGCATATGGTATGCCTTGGTAGCTATAATAAGTTTTTTTGGACGGCAGAATTATTTGTTTTCCTACAAGTTCACCTTGAGCTATTGCAATTTTACATAACTTTTCTTGAGTAGTTACCTGTGAAAAATCTGAAGTTAACAATAAACATTCAAAGTTCGATGATCATCACATTATTAAAGTTAAGTATAGGTAAATGTATGTAAGTATGATAAATGTTACAGCTACAATTATGACTCTTTTATATATGATAACAAATGTTCATTTCCCTTTATAAACAATTACAGACATTGTTACTATGTGACATTATTATAAAAGTTAAAATATTTTTTGTAAATAATAATACTTGACGTAAAAACTTAACATTAACCCTTTGCCCTCGAATTAAATTTGGAGATGGGTATCGTACTACTCGAATTTGATATTTCTGTCGATTTTGCAGCAGGAATACATAACAGGCAAGTTTGAATGTATAAACAAGATTTAGCAATTGTTTTGTTGATTTTAGTTATATCTTAATCCATATACATCAATACACTTACCTATAATATGTTTTGTTATGTTAAAAGTTATGTTTTATAAAACTTATTTATGTTATATAATATATATATATAACATAATTATATATATATATATATATATATATATATATATATATATATATATACTGTATGTTGTATGAATGCTGTGGTGACCGAGAGCAGAGACATACAAATGGAAACGGTTAAATCAAAATCAAAATTTCAACAATTCAGAATTTACGAGGAATATTAAATGTTACTACAAGCACAATGTAATAATTTATATTATATATACGTATTAATTAATGGGTAGTGCTGCCCTAGGGCAGGTCCGTGAGCTGAGTTAAACTCCAACTCGATTCAGGGAAGAATAGTGTGAGAGGTCCCATTGCCATTCTACACCGCAAATATTGCAAAGATAACTCAGCGAGTGCTGGAGATATAGAAGAACCCATAGGTGTGCCAAAAATTTGGTAATAGAAACGGTCGTTGAATTCAAAATATGTGTTGGAAATTATAAATTTTATTGACTCAAGAAACCAGTGTAATGAAATAGTTGTATGACATGAAATTTCGTCCCATCTAGCTGTGATAGCGTCTAAAATTAATTGTAGGGGAACGTTAGTGAAGAGGGATACCACGTCTAGACTCACTAGTAAAGAATTATCAGGAAGTACAATATCACGGAGTTTATTAACCAATTCAAAGGAGTTTTTTACAAAAAAGGGGGACTTAACAGTGACTGAAGAAAGTATGGTGTTGAGAAATTTGGAGAATTTTTTGAATCAGCAACGATTGGTCTGAAAGGTACGTTAGGTTTATGTATTTTGGGTAGTCCGTAAAGTTTGGGGTTATACGGATGTAGGTTCTTTTTCCAATTTCTGTCATTTTTTCCTAGTTTATATTAATTTTTCAATATTTTTTTTTTGCACATCTATGGGTTCTTCTATATCTCCAGCACTCGCTGAGTTATCTTTACAATATTTAGAGACCAAAGTGTTTAATTCTTGCAAATTAGATCTTTAATTCTATTACAGGTACGTAGATGACATTTTTACTTGTGTGCCAGTTAAAAACTTTGAACTTTTACTCCACAATTTCAACTCTTTCAATGAACATCTCTCATTCACTTTCGAAAAAGAACAGAACAATTCCATCAGCTTTCTTGACGTCAAAATTATAAAAACCTTAGATAACCGTATCATCACAAATTGGTACCAAAAACCTACTTGGTCGGGCAGGTATTTAAATTTTCATTCCTATCACCCATCTAGCATGAAAATAGGTACTATAATTAATTTAGTTGACCACGCCATACTTCTCTCGGACAAACAATTTTGGTCTGCTAATTTATCGTTAATCCACACAACACTTATTAATAACTCTTATCCTCCTAATCTCATAAACTCTGTCACGTACAATAGACTCAAATTTCTCAATAATAACAATAATACCTCTTCTTCTTCCACCAAAATCTCCAAAGACAATAACTTTATTGGTAATGTTTGTCTCCCGTTTATTAAAGAACTCTTTCCCATTTGGAAAAAACTGTTCCACAAGGTCGACTTAAGATTAATTTGTAACATAGACTTAACCCTTAGCTCCCTTTTTTCCAACCTCAAATCACCCACTAGTTTGGAACGCACATCAAATATTGTTTATAAATTAAAATGCAATGATTGTGATTCCATTTACATAGGTGAAACTGGACAAAATTTAATAAAACGACTAAAACAACATGATAATAACTCTAAAAACCCACGACAAAATCAAACCATGATAACAGAACATATAAAAAATTTTAAACATTCTTTTGACTTTTATAACGCTAGTATACTTTATCACGAACGGAACATTATTCAGAGAAGATTTGCTGAATCTTGCCTAATCAGCATTTCCAAATCTTGCGTTAATAAACGCCATGATGCCTCCTTACTCTGTGAAAATTATCAGGTGATACTTAATAATATTTCCAAATTTGTTTCCTCTTATCCTGCGTAATTCCGAACCTGTAAACCTACCCTTACGCGGTCCGATCCCGAACTTTGATTCTTAGCCTCTCACCCATACTTCGAAACACTGATTGTAAAAAACCCGCGAACTATTCCCTCAAACGGTCTCTTCAAATAATTTTTAAACACATTTTATTACAGCCTCGGGCTCGGTCACATAAACTATGTTCTCTGTGCAAAATATATTATATATTTCACAAATATTTTGCTATGCTCTGTTCAACAAAATAATATAAAAAACAAGTTAGTGTATATATGATAGTGCAAAATTATGTTCCTTGCGCTAGCTACTGATGTAAGACCATATTTATGTAAGTTTGCTTCATTGTCTATATATGTGTATGTGTCTGTATTGCATATGTATGTATATGTATATATATATATATATATATATATATATATATATGTGTATGTATGTATATATGTATGTGTATGTATGTATATATACATATGTACATGTCCGTATGTATATGTTTATATATACGTATTATTCGTATGTATATATGTATATGTGTACGTGTTTGTACATGTATATCATATATACATGTTTGTTTGTGTGTATATTTATGTATATATATTACGCTTTTGTATGTTCGTATATATTTCTTTTTACTTTTCATTTCTCTTGTTTATCTATCTATTAAGTATAATTGTTATTGTTATAATTATATTACTTATATCTATAGTTCTTTTTCCAATTTCTGTCATTTTTTCCTAGTTTATATTAATTTTTCAATATTCATTCTGTAGATCCACTGATGATGACATAAAATACTATGTCGAAACGTTTGGAAAAATTAAAGATTAACTTCTAAATCTTTGCCTTTTATTTGATGTATGCCCTTGAAGAACTTACTCATATTTCTCAACATCAAAACTAACTTCTTTAACATATATATATATATATATATATATTTATTTATTTATTTAAATATACACATTACATGCAGCTTAACCACCGCTGATTTAATATTGACGTATGATGCATCAGTCCTAATTTTATTATTATAACTGTTGAATTACAAATTCACTATATTTCTTCTTTAAAAAAAAATTCAGTCAAAATCAAATTACAAATTATCCTCAGATGCAACTAAACACATTGAAATGTAATACATACCGATCGCAAATGAGTAAAAGAAAACTTGATTAACTTTGACTGCAATGAATTGGCATAAAGAGAGAGCATTTTACTGTAACAAAAATACAAATAATTAGATATGAATTAATTTGAATAAAATTAAATTCTAGCGCAAATTTTTATATAATAAAAGTATTTTATGAGTGTTCATAATACGAGTGTATGAAATCATGGTAATGTTCATGCAATAATTAAAATTATGCAATATTACATTTAAGTTACAGTGTATTTAGTGCAATTATTATTACAGTATACAGCATATTTATTGCAAATAATCAAATGTGCCGCTTCGACATAAGTATTATATCAATAAATAGGAATTTGATTAGACAAAATTTAAATTTATTAATTTTTAATATATACATTCAATGACAACAGTAATTATAATCACTGTAAAATATTTCATATAAAAATAATATGGATAATAACAAGTAAAATTTTACACACCATATCACATTTTTATGTATCAATTTATATTAATCCTGATTTTTTTAAAATAATTCAATAAGTTATGATAGAAGCACATTTTTCTGATGTTAAAATGCCAATAATGAAAAAATAATTTAAATGGTTGTGTAGAAATCAGTATCATCATTTGAACGATTATGTCGACTAGCAATTTGTTCTCTAACTTCATGTAACTGAAGACCATATTCATGTGATTGGGCTTGATATCGTTGTGAAAGCTCTCTCTCATGTTCCAGTTTTGACATTAGTATTTGGACAGTATTACGCAGTTCACTTAATTCATTAGTTAGTTCCAACACTTTGAGATGATAGTCTACAGCCTCCCGCCTACAAGACTCTAGTAACCCTTGCAGACCTTCCTTCGCAGAAATTTCTTTATCTAACTCCGTCTTCAATTCTTCCATTTCAAGTTTGATTTGTTTATTATCACATTGCAAAATTGTATTCTCATGCTGTAGCTCATTTTTTTTCTTTTGTAAAACATCATATTTCTGAAGTAATAAAGTAAAATCTTCTTCAGTTTTTTGAGTAGACTGCTTACAATTATCCCCGCCTGACAAAGTAGACAAACAAGCATGATTACTTGATATTTCCAAATGAGTTTCATCTATGCCTTTTTGATTAACATTAACATGGGCTTGTAAATTATTGGCTAAGCCTTTTTTTGCGTGCAGTTGCTTTTGAGTATCAGCCAAATTTATTTCTAATGTATGATTATTTGTTTCAAGTAATAAAGCTTCTTGAGATAAATTTCTAAATTGTTCCAGCAACTCTGAACGCTCAGTTTCTTTCATAGCAATTATATCTTCAGCGTGTCGAACACGTGCCACATATTGTTGAAGTTGTTGCTGTAATTCTATAGTTTCTTTCTTAGAAGACTCTAAAGCATGAACAGTTTGTCTATACTCGCTTTTGACAGAAGTAAGTTCATCTAATAAACGACGATTTTCCACAGTGTAGTTCTTACATTCAGAGCTTAATTTTTCTATATCCTCGGAACATTTTTCTGCTTCTATATTAGACTTTGTCAGCAATGCTTTAAGCGAGTCCCTTGACTGCAAAGCATTATCCAGTTTCACCTTCAAATCCTTTATAGAATTTTTCAATTGTTGTCGCTCAGAATCAAGGAGTAGTGTTTGCTCTTTAATTTTACTCATCTGTTCACACTTTTCATCTAATTCATTCAAATGTAGAATTTTTTCTTTACTCGTAGATTCCAAAATCATTTTCAAATTTGTAAGATCAAACTTCAGATTTCTATTACTCTCTGTCAATTTTTTATTTTCTAGTTCTAAGTCATGATTATTACTTTTAGATTTAGCCAACAGCTGTTCCTTCTCTTGTAGCTGCTCTTGAATTATGGTCAATGTTCTCTCAGTTTGATCAAGAATTACCTTAAGCTGATTGTATGATATTTTATTATTACTAATTTCTTTCTCTTGCAAACTTAATCGATTTTCCAGTTCAAGGCAATGTTCTTGTAAATTATTCATTGCGGAATTTTGATGGTCTTTCATCATCAATAATTCTCTTTGTTCAAATTCAAGTCTATCAAGTTTTTGTTGATTTTCAATAGATTTTTGCTGAAGCTTATTTTGTTCACAGGCTTTCATTTCCATAGTTAGATCAAGTTTCTTTTTCAAATTATTCTTTTCTGTTTGATTTTGAAGCAGCTCACTTTGCAGAATGTCAATTTTTTTGTCCAAACAACATATCAAATTATTTATGGAATGAAAACATTTGTTACATATACAATTATTTTTGCAAAATGAGGATTTAATTACATATTTATGCAAATATTTATCATAACTCTTTTGCCAAGAAGCAAATGTATGTTCAGTATGTCTTGGATCTGCTGAAGAACAATGGAATACTTCATGTGGAAAACTGCAGGCATTCATGGTAAAATTCTTATCTTTACAAAACTTGTATTTATCATGTTCATTGTTATTCTCATGACTATAAAAAACCTTATCATGAGATCTTGCCGTAGAAGGTGCAAATGATGTATGATTCAACTCAGGCTCAGTGTTAAATAGTAAACTCGTAGTTTTCTTATAATTATTGTCGTCTTGTAACATAGAACTTCTAACATGATCTGTATATGCATTTTCCGTTTGCACATATTGAGATGAAAATAGTTTCTTAGTTTTATAAACTTTCAATTCATCTAATAAATCATTATGCTTTCTTTTCAGAGTTAAAATTTCTTCTTGTAAGGCATTATTTTTTCGCAAGCTGGCTTTAAGATCATGCCGCATAGACTGTATGACAGTTTTTTATTTTCTAGTGATTTGTTGCATTGCCTTTCAACATTCAGAGCAACTTTATCAATATCTTGCAATTCGTTTTCCAACTGCTTATTTCTCTCAACAAGTTTTAGATTTGAATTAAAAATTCATTCTGTTTAATTATTGCTTCATGTAACTGCTTTTCATATTTATTTTTAACATGATCATGTAAGACATTATCATTATGACCACTGTTATTTTTCCGCGAACAAAATAATCTATAATTTTCTTGAAAGTTTGATAATTTTCTAATTTCTTCATCCTTTTTTTGTATTAAGTTCTTGTAAGAATCAAGTAAATCAATTTGTTGTTGTTGATTATCTAATAAATTCTTAACATCTTTATCTAGTTCTTCACATTTGTTCTTTAGTTTCATAATTTCTGGATTTGAATTATGTTTAATTTTTGGTGATTTTTCTGCATCACTAGGATTGAATTTATTAAATCTCCCCAAATTTTTTTTAGTATTTTGCTCTTTTAGTTTTAAAACTTCTGTATTTTGGGTCGCTAGTTCAAGTTCTAGCTGTTGTATTGTATTCTGCTGTAATTTAGATTTGCTTTCAAGTTCATCATTCAGATAATTAAGATGCTTCAATTTAGCTCTTAACTTTGCATTTGTGTTCTGTGCGTCTTGTCTAACTTCAATTAATTCATCCTTGAGATCATCTATTTCAAATTTTAATTTAGCGTTATCAGATAAAGAAGGCTGAGTTCCTTTCAGCAAAGCTTCTCTCTCATTCTCAATACAGTTTGATAACGTTTTGTAGTAGCATATCTTATCTCTAGCTTTTATAATATCGTTAAGCAACCTATCAACTAATCGAATGCCATCCCTTGGTAAAGGTTCTGTGTATCCTAAATCATCTAACTGTTTTCTTAGGATTGTATAGTTTTGTGTAGCACGAGACATATTCATACATTTACTATGCTTTAAATTTTAATTAAATTTAGAATAGAACTAAAACAAATATTATTTAAATAACTGTCGCTATAGAATATACGATAGTTTATGGAAAAGATTTAGTTTCGTTTACGTTATTATTGGAAGCTGTTAATTATCAAATTTCAAGTTGCCAACAAACCCCTAAATATTTAAATTTACCTTTAGCAAAATTTGAAACTTAAAACAGTTTATTCAATAGAAAATTTCACAATCACAAATTTAATAGTAAATAATATATGTTTGTAACTGTCACCGACAATAACCACAACAAAGCGACTTTAGGAATGAAAAACATTAAAAGCAACCCGTTGCATAGAGGTTGCATAGTATTGCAAGACGGTAACAAGAACCATTACGCCTAGACAATATACTAATTGATACACGTACAAACCCAAAACTCAACTATGGGCTTTTCTTTCAGGCATCTTTTAGACGTTTAGATGTTTAACATAGATAAATAACCATTATGTATAACTTAGAACTTGATCATATGAGATCTTACATAGATAAATAAGCGTGAGATCTTATTTTGCAACAGTAACTTTAAATCCCAAACAAAACGAATACTAATATTTAGTAATTGACATTATTTAATTTTGTAAAAATGTTCTGAATACAATTAAATTATTCATTGAGCTAGTGTTGATCCTATATCCTAGTTCTAATAATATAGAACTAGGATATTAGAATATAATATATTCATATGAAGATTGAATTTACCGCGAATGAAACCGAAACAAAACGGTGTTGCCTTGCGTTATATTCACAACAACTTCATTTGTATTCTTTCGGTTTGTCAAATTCAAATGTAATTTGGATTGTGGAAAATAAAAATTACTTCATAACACAATTAGTAATAATTATATTATTATTAATCATGTAATATAGAACAAAAATATGCTTATGGTGAACAACCAACAAATTTAATACATGAATTAAAATATACTAGAACGTTATCTGAAGTATTCAAAGGGGCTGAGGTATTTTTAGGGTTATCTGTATTTCAGGTTTGTATTTATTATTTTTATTTAAAGATTTAATGCTACCTCTATTCTTTTCAGTAAATTCAGTGCAATTAAATTAAATTCTATATACCAATTATAAACATATTTATTACAAAAATTAAAACATTTTATGATGTAAAGTTATATGTTCTTATAATTATTTAGGAAGTAGAGCAAAAGTATGGCCAGTGCAGCTAATAATAAGACTCCATGTGCTTACTGTAAAAAGGAAACTCAAACTCTGTTCAAGTTAACAGATATACCCGATTTAAGACCTGCATTTACGAGGTTGAAGGTCAGTAAATTTGCAATGCCATGCAATGAACACCTTATTAATCATATAATTTTATTGATTATAATTCTAGGATCATGCAGCTGTTTGCTCTATTTGTGTGAAAAAAGCTAAAATTATTGTATATAAGATCCCAAAACGCATTGTGTATGGAGGTATTAATTTTATTCACTTTTCTCTCTTCTAGAAGTACATTCTTAATTGTATAATAACTTTTCACTAGTTAAAATATCTACCAAATCTTAGTACCCACAATTTGAATTAAATGGTTCTTTTATCTTGCTTTGTCAGTTGTTGAGAAACCATAATATACATTCACTGAAATATGTTGTTTTCAGAAAAGTGTTTAAATTAAAAGATGTCAAATGAAGCTATTAAATTTAATCTTATTTGTTTAGTTTCTTTTGAAGCTCAAAAAATGTATTGTTGTAGTTATGTAGTATTTCTTGTTTTATTGTAATCAATCAAATATTTTTCCTTATATACTATTTAATGATATTTTATTGCTTTATAAATAACTATGTTTTTTTTTTTTTGAAAATAGAAAATTATAAGAAATTATCTTCAATGAAAAACAATTGTATGAAAGACGATTGCAAAAGTAATGAGATAAATATAGAGAAAACTAATGTGGGTAAAAATGAAAGTTATACTAATCAAAATTATATCAATGAAGCAACACAATTGGGTCTTGATAAAGCTAAAGAAGTTACTGTTCAAAACAATTATCAGGAAAAAATTGCAATGGCAACAGCAACTACTAAAGATGTAAATCGACATCATGAAAAAAGTGAAACAAACAATAATGGTCAAAAAAGAAAAATTGAAGTTACACAAGTAGATATCAATATTCAAAATGTATGTAGCTCTAATAATATCAAGAAATTTTCTAATCTAAATCAAATTACTTCAAATATAAAAAAGCAGTGTTCAATAAAATTACCTTGTAGTCAAAATGTTATGTTATCAAAGTCTAAAAAGAACAGAAGTAGTATATGTAAACGAAAATGTACTAAATCATATAATAATGATTCTCGGCATTCAAAAGCTGATTTTTCCAAATTTAATGAAATAAATGAATGTGTCCCAAATTCTCACCCTGAAGAATTCATAGAAAATATTTCATCTGATATAGAAAATGAAACCAATGATATTATTACAGAAACATTAACTAATGAAGATAGATTTAAAGAATTTGAAAGTCAAGAAGTACAAATAATGTCAAAATGTGATGAAATTATTAATAATATTCCGATTGAAAGAGATAAAAGAGAGCTACCAGTAATGACTAAAATATGTTCTCCAAATAATACAATTGCTAGAGCTTTTAATGAAACTCTAAATATAAATGATATAGAAAGTATTATTGAAAATAACAAAAATATTGAAGCAAATAATCAGAACAACGCTTCATTAAATAAAAATATGCCAGAAGATGAATATGTCCACAGCAACATTCACATGAAAAATGTTGCCTCAATACCAATGACTGAACATTTATCTTCAGCAGTAAATATCAGTTTAACTTATAAAGATATTGTAACAAAAATTTTACAAAACTCAAAAAAACATAGCTTCAGCAATAGGATGATAAATTACAAATTTGATATTATGCACAAAGAAAGTATGCAAGACAAGAATTTTGTTACTAAGAAAGGTGCGCTGCCTGAAATCAATTTTAAAAGAGTATCCTGGTCTGTTGAATGTGATGCTGATTTTGATTTTGGCAAACCTCATAAATGCTTTAAAAGTTCCAATTCATTTGCACATCCTGTTTGTATTCACGATAAATGCCAGAATGGTTCATTAATTTTGAACTTTTCTTCAACTTTGAAAACAGCTCATTTGCAAATTGAATTAAATGGTCATGAGGCACATTGTGTTATACTAGGATTACATGAAAATTATTGGCATGATGTTTGTTATTTAGTTTATAGTCTTGGGAACTACTGCTATATCAATAATGGGAAATTGAGAAGAGAACATAATTTGTTACAAACACAACTATTAGATTTGCTTATTAAGACTACACCAAAGTTTAATAATTTAATGTTGTTATATCAAAAGATTAAAGGTGATAAACAAGTGAATTTAAAAAGTATTGATGCATTTGAAAGTATTGATATAAATATAGAAAATAATTTATCAAATGCCAAGTGTGGTTTAGCTCCCAAGACTGCACAATTTTTCAAAGAAGCTGCGCGACTGCACTGTCAAATACAATACTTCAAACAAAGAATTATTGAACTTTCTTCCCAAATTGGTCTTTTAGAAGCTGATGTACTTTGTATACCAGATTCTTCTCATGAAATTTGTTTGAATATGATTGAAAATATCAAAGCAAAAAAATTCCTGCTGGCGGATTATAGAAATAAATATGCTGAGTTGAAAAAATATGAAAATAATTTAAGGCATAATTAATTACATAATTTCAACACTAATTCTATCAACTCGAACTCTTGTACATTGATCTTTGGTTGAGAGTACACTGCGACTTATAATATGTAATAGAACAAATTAGATATGTAGTGAATACCATGATCAATAAATAAAATCTTATTAGAATTATTTGTATTTTTTTTATTAATGTGTTGTAATAATAGTGCATAATATCAATGAATTTCGAAATCGAAAAAAATGCAGATAATGTGTTTGAGTTAAATATGTGTTAATTTATTGCATACTTTTAAATAAAGATTTTATTAATTGACTTAATTTATATCGGAATGGATAATCAGCAAAGATATTTATGTTTAAATGTTGCGCCCAAGTCATGACAGAACTTCAGTATCATAACAAGTTAACCTAGAAATTTATGTCACAGTAATTATTTATTGTCTAGTGGTTTAAAATTATGTGAAATAAACATTATAAGAAATAGAGTATTAAATAGATTTTATTACTTAATGTAGTGGCAATTTATTTTAATGTTTTAATTTAGTTTCTCAGAAGTAATTAGAACGTTTACATTCGTAAATAATTCAAAATGTTGAAAAATATTTTAAACAGACGAAAATGTGTTGTAGAGAAATACCATAGGCAACTATATAATTTTATATCGTACATATTAACATCTTGATTATATTTTAAATAATTTAACTCAAATACTTTTAGATATTTTGCAAAGTCGATTTCAAATCACTCTAACAATGAAAACATTAATTATCAAGATGTTGAGCATCATTCAAAAATGAAAGACCATTGGTGGAACTTAAATGGTCCTGTGAAAGGACTGCATTCGTTGAATGAACTACGGTATGAATACAAAAAAAAAAAAATATTAGCTCATGGATTATCTAAACATTGAGAATTCTTCATATTAGAGTACCATTTATTCGTGATGGTTTGGTGAATTCAAAAAAATCAAATAAAGAAAACAAGTTTACAAGTAAGCCTTTAAGGGATTTTAAACTTTTAGAGGTTGGCTGTGGGGGCGGTATTCTGACAGAGGTAAATTGTTTAATAATAGAATCTATATTTGGCGAATAATATTATATATAAAATATTTTCATTTTATTTATGGTAAATATAGTAAAAGTTCATTTTTTCATACACTTTGTAATTAATATCTCAATTATGTAAGATGAATACACAAATAATTAACATTTTGTATATTTAAAAATGTGATATGGCTATTTATAAGGGACCATTCAAGTATTACGTAAGCACTATAGGGGGCAAATGGCCTAGTGATACTACCATTGCTTTAAGTTACAATAGTAATTGAAATTTATATAATTTTAATGCAAACAGATAAATTATATAAATTATATTGTTTATCATATATCATAATCAACTGAATTTATTCTATATTGATGATTGATCTTTTCAAATAAACATGTGTTTTTACATTTTATTTCAAACTTGGTTCAGCCATTGGCCAGGTTAGGTGCTGATGTCGTAGGACTTGATGCTAGTGCAGAACTAATTTCGGTAGCTGAAACTCATAAGATGCAATCAGAAAATATGGACAAAATTTTATATACAACCAATTGTATTGAAGAATACTCAAACAATAATAAGGAATGTTTTGATGCTGTTATTGTTTCTGAAGTATTAGAACACATCAAGGATAAGAATATGTTTATCGCATCCTGTTTGAAAACATTAAGAGTAAATATTAATTCAATTCAGTTTTGTAGCTCTTTATTTTAAAAATATTTATTTGTCACACATGCTTTTTTCAAATCCTAGCCTAAAGGTTCAATATTCATTACAACAATAAATAAAAGCTTTATGTCTTGGCTTTGCGGCATAATTATTGCAGAAAGGTTATTAAATATTGTACCAAACAATACACATGAGTGGGATTTGTTTATACAACCCCACGAGACACAAAGAATTTTGGAAATTAGTGAGTATTCTTGATTTGGTATCTGCTTGTAAGATTTGTAAGTTATATATTTTTTTCAGATAACTGCCATATTCAAAAATTACATGGAATGTTTTATCAAGTATGGAACAATAGTTGGTCATGGTGTTCAAACACTGACATTAACTATGCAGTGCATGCCATAAAAAATATTGAAGATAGTGATGCTTATCATGATAATTAGTTATAATATACAATATTAAATAATCAATTCAAGTAATTTATCTTTTTAGTATTATGAAGACATCATATTCTATTGAATATTTATGTATATATACATAATACTAATTATATTATATATAATAATATAATTATATATATATAGTGGTGACCCAATATGAGAGTGTTCGGAGATACGAGCCGCCAATAAAGCGATTTGTTGCTTTGACATATGAGTAAAATCGAGATACGAGCTTTGAGAGATTAAGAGTTTCCTAAAAAATGTTAATGGCAAAGTGCAAATATGATAAATTTTGTCAGTTGTAACAATGATTTTGCTATTGCTACCATAGAAATACTATTTGGCTGTTTTATGATAGTAAATTATTTTGTAGTTAGTCATTTCAATTTCATATTCATTGTGTACTATCGATTTACATATGCAAATATATAGAGGATTATTTTAACATTTGAAATTTTAACTATACATTAACTGTGATCGTACAGTTATATATATATATATATATATATATATATATATATCAAAGTCTGATAATCGGGCATATTGATGTTATATTGATGTTATGCCCGATTATCAGACTTTGTTAATATATATATATATATATATATATATATATATATATATATATATATATATATATAGGTTTTGGTTTTGTTTTTTGTACACTCACAAAATAATAAGTGCTTATATAACTATGGGTTTAAAGAAAATGGCCATTTCTCTTGAATTAAAGCATGAAATAGATATGTACTATATTTAAATAGAAGAAGTTGATAATACATTGATGGCATTTTAATGTATTTATATCGAAAGAAGGAAATTGTTTTGAGATACGAGCGATTCAACATTCGAATGCAGTTATGGAATGAATAAAACTCTTTATATATATATATATATATATATATATATATATATATATATATATATATAGATAATTTTGTTCAAGTGTAACACCAAGTTAAAACCATGGTAATTAAAATTACCAATATATCAGGTTTACATGTTTCATATAACATTGAGATAGTGGATGGATTCTGTGGAAAAAGCTATCTCTAAACTAATAATATAGTTAAGGTAATTATTAAGAATTTTATTTTATTTTATGCTCAGCTATAACACAAAAGATCAATTTTTAGTTAATGTTTAATTGAGTCTTTAATGTTGAATTGAGTTCTTGGCGTTCCATGTCCCTGATATGAAATGAAAATATCAAGTAAGAATATTCCGAAAATATTAGCTATTTTGAAAAACTTTATGCGGTAAAACCACGTTAAGATGATTTTTCAGGGACCGATACATAAAAAGCGACTTACGGGGATAAACGTATCATGCTGGATAGAAACAATTACGAACCTACTACTCATTAGTATGTGTTATTTTCTTATACAATTATATGTAATATGTATACAGGTATTAAATCATGCATTTATAAGTTATATTAAGTACGAATATAGTTAATTACAATTAGGTTATTTAAAATAATTACTTATTTTGGTGTAAGAAAAAGTGGAATTTTGTGGCATTAGAAGTTACATTAGCACTTAGTTTTCGGAGAAGTTTCTTTTGGTGTCCGTCTTATTAACTACAGGACTGTTAATTAATTTTCATGATTTCAATTAAAGGTAATAATTATGTTTTATGATTAAACCACTTCTCACGGGACTATAATTTTTAGAGGGTTTATTTTGACTGTTAACTTCATCACCACTTTTTATAAAAATCCCAGACAATAGTTAATGTATATGTAATTTTGGGGTCCTTAAAAGTTTTATCTAAACAGCACGATTCGCGAGTGACATCTTCTAAACGGGTTTCGGATGACTTGATCATTATGATTTCGAGCTATCATTGAGTTTTATCCAACGACTTTTACAGTTTTTAAATCATAATTGTTTCCGAAGTTGGCGCTGATGTACGAACAGCGATCCGCCTACTTATCTATGGATCCGCCTACTAGCCCTGCTGACCGGGCTACGAACAACATATTTTAATATTTTTCAAACATCATCAATAAAAATGTATTTAAAATAAAATTTCTGAAAAACTAAAAATTACAATAACAATTTACAATTCTCACTGGATGTCACCTATAGACGACGCCCGACATACCGGTCGTTACGTTATATATGTTATATATAAATTCTCGTGTCGGACCGAACTTTTATAATACCGATTATAATGACTGAGAATCGGCCAACATCTATTTTTCATGCCCCTAAGTGGTAAGGGTTGGATATCCTTAGGGTTTTTTTGGGCGTTTTTTTTTTATTTCATCTATTCATAATTCGTAACTAAAAATTCATAAGCCTCAAATTTTTGCTCTCTCTCTCTCCACAAACCCCAATTCCGTGAAAATGATTTTATTGGTCGAATAATTTATCATTTCGCGTGCAGTCATTGAAAGTTTTCTGAACATGAACATAATTGGTTCAGATTTTTTTGAGTTTATGAAAAAGTTTAGATTTTACTTATTTTCAAATTTTGAGAGTCAATTTTCTTTATTTTAATGTTTTTAATGAGGATTTAAAAAAATACATACAAGTATAAATTTTCGTCCTACCACCACAAATCCCTATTTCATAAAAGTTATTATAGTAGCCCAATCATTTTTTCATATAGCTCGATGATAAATCAATTATAATTGCATTTAAATTTAAAAACTATATATAGTTTTTTTGTGAACGTCTTTTGTTGAGTTTTCTTCAATATTTCGTCTTTACGCAGCTAATGCAGCGCGATCGCTTTGAGAAAAAGTTTCAAAATTTTCAAGAACTTATAAAAAAAAATGAAACAAAAATTTTTAACAAAAAAGTAAAATTTTCTTAAAAATTTCAGTTCTCAAAGTTTAAAAAAAATGAACCTTTTTTAAGAAAATAAATATTTGGTACGCGAAGATCCAGCAATTTGCCTTAAGGCACGTTGTTATGCTACTAGTGTGTTATGTTACTACTAGTTGTACATAAAATTAAAACCAGGTTTCAAAATTTTTACGCTTCTTTATGTCAACGTCGAGTTATGAAAATCTATTTTTTATGTACACAGATTTATATTTTAATATTTTGATTATTAACTTCCAGTAGGGTAAGTTATAGTATCACAAAAAAACGAAAATGAACATTTTTACATAGCTTTATGTTTCAGGGGATTCTGAACATTTTGGCATACTTTAGAAAAAATGGATGTATGTGTGTGTATGTATGTATGCCAGTGGTCGGGGAACTTTTGGAACCGTTACCCCAAAATGTTTTTGTGCAACTTCTCATTACCCCACAAAAAAATTAACTAAAAGAGCCTATAATTGGAATCTGTTTGCAACATATTTCTGTATAACCTGCCATAACATTGTTTGTTACTTCTAAACAACGAAAAAGGCTGAAATAAATGGTTTGAAGGAAACAATAAGTAAAAACTATATTCATTATGAATAAATATATTTTTCATGAAAATCCTACTAATCCGCACCGTGACAAAATTTTCGAAGAATTTTAAATGTTTCTAATTAGATTATTCTAAATACTCTAACACTGTATAATATTCATAAGATATATATAAGCTGAATTACAAAATTTAAAAAAATTATTTATTCGAAGAATATAAGTGAGCTTTAGAACTTTAGCCAGAATTAAAATTAAAATCTGAATTATTTTCGATATACAAAGAAAAATTTTTTGAAAAAAAAATTGAAATATTTTTCTTTCCAAGAAGTAATTGTTTTGTCAACACAAACAGCAAGTTTTTTTAACTTCCCGTAGGGTAAGTTATTGTAATGGGCCGAAAATCGGAATTGAAAATTTTTACATTTCTCGACGTTTTGAAGGTTTCTGAACGTTTTGGCATACCTCAGAAAAAATGGATGTGTGTGTGTGTGTGTGTGTGTGTGTGTGTGTATGTATGTATGGATACAAATTTTCGTCCACGTTTTCGGGCGTACGGATCAACCGATTGGAATGGTTTAAAAAACATTCGATTCCTATTGATAGGGAAAAGAGCTGATTAGTTTTTGGCGAAGGCAGGTCCAGCCGTTTCGGAGATACGGAGCAGAGTGCAGAAAATAGAAATCGAATTTTTGAGAGAATGGAGTATCCGATTTGAATAATCTAAAAAACGTTCAATTAGTAATGATTGGGAGAAGTGTTTATTAGTTTTGGCAAAGGCAGGCCCAGCCATTTTGAAGATACGGAGCTAAATATGTAAAAAATGGCAATTTTTGAGAGAACTAAGCGTCCGATTTAAATGATTCAAAGAACTTTCTGCTTGTCTTAACAAAATAATGGATTTTGGAAAAAAAAATTTTCCGATTTTTTTTTTTTTTTTTTTTTTTTTTTTTTTTTTTTTTTTTTTTTTTTTTTTTTTTTTTTTTTGTATATCAAAATATTTCAGATTTTATTTTTAATTCTGACTATAGTTCTGATATACTTTAAACAAATAATTTCAACTCTGCAATTCTTATAATATTAGACAATATTACAATATTTATAATAATCTATTTGAAAACATTCAGTATTCCTCGAACATTTCGTTACGGTACGGGAAGTTGCAGCAATTTGCCTTAAGGCACGATGCCATAATTGCCTCAAGACAGAATTCCACTTACAGCTAGTTAATCATTCAAATCGGATGCTTAGTTCTCTCAAAAACTGCCATTTTTGTACATTTAGCTCTGTATCTTCGAAATGGCTGGACATGCCTTTGCCAAAACCTAATCACTACTTCTCCCAATCATTACAAATTGAATGTTTTTGGATCATTCATATGGGATACTTCGTTCTGTTAAAAATTCGATTTCTATTTTCTGCACTCTTTACTCCGTATCTCCGTAACGGCTGGACCTGCCTTTGCCAAATACTAGTCAGCATATCTCCTTATCAATAGGAACCGAATGTTGAATGAACCATTCAAATCGGTTCATCCGTGCGCTCGAAAACGTGAACGAAAAAATGCGGACACACAAAACACACACAAACACACATCCATTTTTTCTTAGGTATGGCGTTGCAAATTGGCGTTGCACAATTTCTTCAAAATTTCATGTCTGCTAAATATGCGAGATATGCAACTCAGGAAGAGTTTTTAAAATTTTCAGCAAGAATATTTTTTTGAGAAACCATAGAGATTTCAGCTTTATTTTTAAGAGTCCATACGCAATTTAAAATATTTCCGCGATAGAGCCACCTTACTTCTGTATAATAAAGAAGGTAAGTCTCAGCTTCACCATCCTGACATAATTAACAAAATAGCCGCGTATTTAGTGCATGTCCCTTGATAAAATTTTAATCTTGATAACATGATGAGTGTGGGTTATTTTCCCTTACAAAAGCTAAAAAACCATAAATATGACCCATCCAAAGACACCAAACTATCAATTTCCCCATTTTAATCTTTGCGCTTTGAAGTATTCGTTTACTTATTATAAATATCAATTTCATGAC